GTGCCAAAGGAGATAAGGGCTCGCAATTGCCCAGAACTCCCTTCTTTTCTGAGTACCGACCCATGAACACAAGACCGCGTGGCGTTACCCCCTCCTTCCCTCTCCCCCTGACCTGCGAAGCTCTCACTCGGGCTTGTCTCTTGTAGAGCTTCTCTGCATCTCTAAACTCAGCATGATTCTACAAATCTGGAAGCAAATCGGGTCTTGTTTGGGGAGCTTTCGACGGCTTAGTCCAGTCTTTTCTTCACTGGCAAATCGATTAATAAGTACACTTGTCCCACTACTCACGACATGCAGTCGCGGTATGTGACATTAAAGGCAGTTGGCACGATAAATCCCCCAAGACGAGTAGGATTAATACGCCTGGCAGGACGGAATTCCGCGACCCTGAGCAGGCGCGCATGCCTTTTCCAAGGAAGGTGCCCTTATAAGGGCCCTATCAAGCCACAACATTACGACCCAAACGCCCGCCCGCCCACAAATGGACGACCGTTCCTGACGCTCGTATTCATTCATTTGCTAAGCAAATTATGAAGCGAAGGGATTGGTATGAAGCGGCCGTGATGCTGCATGGATATATGAGTACACATATGCAGCCGTACCTTCGGTAGCGGTTATTGGCAAGATGCCTACGGGAAACTCGTCCAAAATTGATTTTGAACACATTGAGAACGGAGGCTCTTTCTTCGCAGGATTTTGACCGTTTCACTCCGTTCTTTCGCCATTTCCCCTATATAGCGCCCTACTAGCATTTTAGGCCGAGCACCAAATCATCGTGCCAACTGCCTCTAAGTAAGCTGGCTCGTCCATAAGCTGCTCATATCGACTGTTAACAAGTTCAGACTCGCATCGAGAGGCTCTCTCATGACCTGAGTGAGGCACGGGCTGAGCTAGAAGTCTACCGTCGCGAAGGTGTTATGGCTCGCCACGTGAGTGCTGTTCGTGAAAATGTTCCTCTTGTGGTCCGCAGTAGCAGTGCGAGCAACCTCGCTGTCGACGTGATAGATAAGGATGAAGTTCGAAAGTGAGTTTTATGGCATTTGGGATTGCTTTTCACAATTCTCCATTGTTTTCACAGGTGGAAAGAGAAATGTGGCACGATGTTCCGTGAATTGAATGCAATGAGATCCGGCTATCAACGTGCCCAAGAAGAGCGGCGTGAACTCAAAATTCAATTGGCAATGTTGCGTGGTGAACTGGAGATGACACGATGTCAGAGCGAGAGGTATATTCAATCACTATAGTTAATGATCACGTAAACCTTGATGGAGTGGGGTCAATACATAAGGTACCCTCACTGCTCAATGCCGGCAGCAGGGTGATTCAGGGGCGGCTTCCGCAAACGGGCGGGCCCGGCCGAGAGCGCGTGCCCAGGAACCTATGTGTTGCGTTTTTCCGAGGCCCCAATTAAGTCATTGTTCTCGGTCTCAAATTTCCGTTTCATGAGGCAGCGCTGGCGGCTGAGGGGACTTTGTAGGTTCGGCGGCGTAGTGTTTAGCAGCGTCGCGTTGGTGCGTGTACGCAGTGGCAAAAATGACTTATAATTAGCCTGGAAAAAGCAAACTAGTTCCTTGGCACGGCCGCTGCGGCCGCCGCCTTGACTCCCACCGGCCTAATCAACTGCCCGGCATGGACGACAACGTTACACGCATCGGATAATGGATATGGTGATGGGCCTCGCAAATGCTCACGCTCATACTACGACCACTATGCCCAATCTTCCTTCTTCGGGCAGATATGAGCCCCGGCGACGTGCGATCCCTTACAACGCGCCGGACCGACCGCGGCCCAAGCAGGAGGTGTGTACCTTAACTAACGCAGTCTCCAACAAACCTTCCTAATTTTTCGCCGCTTTCAAAGTTGAAGCTGGGGGGGGGGTGGAGTGAATGGGTCGGAAGAGAGAGCGGTCAACAGTCTCTCAACTCCAACACAAGGTTAGGCACCATGCATGAAAGGGCCTGCATCCAGTTCAATTGTCATGACGCAAAATCATCAAGGGCCTCTTGTTTTTGTTTGCTACAGGAGAATACGATGGTAATCCAGGCCTCGAGGCTGATTTCCGAGACCGTGTCTATAAGACACCGTCACCCATGCGCGACGGCAAAATTTCGGGAAAGGTTAGTAGAAGAGCAGATAGCTTGTGGAAGAGAGTCGCATCTAAGGAGGGAATTCGGGGCGGGTTTAGGTGGGGCTGCTCATTTCACCAGTCCGCACTGCACCTTGCTACGAAGACATGCGAGCCGAGGAGCTGGTTCTATAGGTATGAGGTGTTCTACGAAAAAACAAACTTCAAAAGTCACAAAAAAAACGAGAAAGATAATTTTTACATCCTTCTTCATTTCCGGAGCAATTTGAGCGAGCACTATACAGGAAAACATAACCCACTAATCGCTGCGCTATGCAAAGGCTGGAGTAGAACCCTGTTGCTCATGATTGGCTGACGCGGATAGTTCACCTATCACAGACATACCAGGCGCAAGCAGCATCCTTTGACGATCTGCAACAGACTTTATAAAGTTTCACAACTTGCACTCTCCAGGTATACTATTTCAGAGATGCTGATACCTCCATGGATTCATCTGTATACTTCTCGCCACATACAACTCGCAGCAGAAGCTACCATACTCCAAGTGATCTTCGAAGGTTAGAAATCACTCAATTCGAGAATAAAATGTTGTATGTTGTACTAGTAACGCTTTTAGGGAATCACGGAGTAGCGTGATCGTTCATCAGAATCCGGCACCATTCGATCGTGGCTCTACTCGTGAGAGCGTCGTCTGCCGTATTACCGCTGCAAAACCTCAAAGTATTGAACGAGGACGTTCTCGAAGCGAACAACGAAGGAGGGTTACTTCGTCAAAGACAGACTTCGAGGCCAAAGCACGACGGCGGAGTGCTAGAACGGTAGGTTCTCAATGAACATTGGTAACTATTGTTTTTGTTGTCATTGATCTTCATTTTGAATGCGCCATGCTTACGAAAACTCTTCTCTATAAGGGAGGCAATTGAGTCGTAAGGAATGTGCCAAAGAGCACTCATGCGGGATGGCTTGATGTTAACTGATCCGAGAAAATTTTACAATTTAGACGCTGTTTTCAGAATGCACCTCCGTCGTTATCCTCTTCGATAACCTCGTTACCTGGCAATAATTTGGCCGAGAAAGTTACTCCCTTGCCAAGGTTACCTTTTGTTCGAACGTTGCATTAGTCATCTAAAATAATGTCTTTCTTGTCAGGCACTTTATGACTCAATCTTGGCATGAAGCCAGCCAGCCGCTTAACGTGTTCTTCGTCAAGCCGAAGCTCGATGTCCCGCAACCTGTGGAGAATCGTCGCGAGTCACGTGTGGTATCACTGCGAGAACGTGTCGGGCAATTATCTCGGGAGAATCGTACACTCCACGAGCAGCTCGCCGCCGCAAATGCAACGGTTAGTTTATATCAGCCTATTTCTTTGCTCTGAAGCTTGCGGGTTCTGGGCGAGTGCCAAAAACGGCTAGTCGTCCACGAGCGCAGTTTATAGTTTGTACCATTGCCACGAGTCGGGGGCGGCGAGCGCAGCGCGGCATGCGGCGTCCGTGCTTTACCAATGGCGATCGAGTAGCAATCGATTTTGGAAGGAAACAGTCAGTGATGGAAGGGCGCAGCTGGGACCAACTGATTGCGACCCGACTGGTCGCGGTGATATTAACTGTAATTACTACGATTTGTTAGGTCTCAATCAAATAATTAGTGGTGAAAGTAGACCTGCATGGGATCTTGGGGGAGGGATCAAAGAAGCTCTTGGGGACTTGTTATAGCGCGTGCCAACCCCATTAGTCAGAGCGTCGGTAATCATGCGTTCGCTGTATCTGACTTCCAAAGCCAGAAGTTATCATAACTCCGGTTCAGGGATCAGGCCTTGGGTTGACCCCTTCGAATGTCAACCAAACCTTCCATTCCTGTGGTGGTCTCCGAGCCAAGCTCGTCCGAGAGGATCAAACCACACTTGTATAATTTTTCTTTGCTCACTTCCGAAGCTGGGGCGTGTCAGAGTACTGGAGTTGGCGTGGCGCCAGCCAGCCTGTTTTGCACCTACAGTTATCGCTTGCCCACATCCATAACTGGGTGAGAATGGATTGGCGCCGCACCAAATCGCAGCGAACACTTCGGTTGCGCTAGCACGTGCTGAATTGAAAGACTCTGCCTGGCGCAATTCGAAGGAGATTAATCAGCGCTCAGTTAGCTCGAATGCAGTGTGTGACCCATTATGCACTCCATTTCGCGGAGGTTCGGAAGGCGTGGCGCATACTTTATTTGAACGTGGCGGTGGACGCGCTTTTGATGGGATGTTGTCGTTTCAGAACAATTGTAATCGTCTTTGTCCAGTACATCGGGGTGGTAGTAAGTGAAATGACCCACGAAAAGCGCATCGCACGCCATTTCTAAGAAGTGCACAACCACGCCCTTCCCACCTCCGGGATATAGAATGTGTCAAGAAATGCTTCACTTGCAGATCGCTAGAAGTAGAGCAACTACTTCTAAAACGATTGATGTAGAACGCTTGAACAGGCTTGAACAAGAGAAAGACGCGTTACGTGGGAAAATAGAATTATTGTTGGCTAAAATTGATCAGGTGGGTATTGCTTTAATGTTGTACGCATTTTTTTTTCACATTTTTAACATTTAATCTACCCTTTTCCAACAATTGCAGGACTCCTCCAATGCCTGTTGCGCTCTGTCAGATCTCAATGCTAGATTGGAGTTGAGCCGTCAGGAAAACGCAATCTATGAAAAGAAGACTCTAGCGCATATGAGAGGAAAGGTGAACGCTTCTAACCAAGATGGGACTCTGAATCTTCAGTTCATTTGCCAATTTTCAGGAAAGAAATGTATCTGGTCATGTTTAAGAAAGGTCAGGAAGCTGCCACAATGGATATGAAAGAGGTTAGCAACTGACGATCAGTAGTATTAGTACTACTCACAACATGCTGACACGAATATTTACTCGCGTCAGCATGCGGTGAGAAGCAGAAATGTGGAAATGACCCAACGGCCATACGAGAGCGCCCGTGTCACGAACTGATAGTATTGGAGCTGTCGTAAAATTGAGTGACGAAAATGGTTATTGTGTGAAGCACACAATAATCATTTTCGTTCAAGAAAGGTCCCGCATAATTGTAATTTTTGGAGACAAACGCATTACCGCGATTACCCAAGAAATGGGTACTTTCCGGTGTCTATCGGACGCAATGAGCGCAAGCTGTTCAGCGTAGCATTTAGCCGGCGCCGGAAAAGCCTGGCAAAAAAGTGGCGATCAGAGTTGCTGCCTATGAAGGAAGGTACGACCGCTATGTGGCGTTTAGGTCGGTTGCGTGCTGCTGTGTGGCTTAGGTCTGCGCTTCGCTCAGCCCATCGCTGAGCGTCTCTGATCTCCACAACACTACGATCTCAATGCTCAACGCTAAAGCGCGGTTTATTTAGGCGTTACGTGCAGAATTTTCTTTTATTTAAAGGCACATTCCGCGATAAAATAAGGCTATGACCTCTCAAATGTGTCGGACGATCCGGAAGGCGATTTTTGAGGCTGCGCTACTTTCAAAATGTGAAAAACGGCAAGAACTCCGCTAGAAGCTGACTAATTAGGCCCATGGACACCCCTTAGGCCCATGCCGACCCTCACCGGCTGCTAGCTACTAGCTAGTAGCCACTATGTTATCTTTCTCTATAACATTTCGGACTGCTTTTTCTGCTGCTTTTCTCCGCTAATCAGATACTTAGCACTTTTTTGTGCCTATTTGAGTTCCGTTTCCCGCAATTCGCGGTCGCGAACTGTGCCTTTAACTGCGCAGAATGGCCGTAACTTACGGTGGAAAGCACACACCGACCGCGTGACAATTCCTACAGGCCTTGTTTCGGCTAAGCGAATGCTGAGTGATGTCAGGGGGATTGGCTGTGTTCAGCTGGCGCCGATTTGTTTTCCACGAATTGTTGATGTGGATAAACGACAGCAATTTTTGAAAAACGGGCTGCCGCGCGCAGAAAGCCCAGTCCCCATCCCACCACCTCTCCACTCACACCCCCACATCCGCAGTCACAAAGACTGCAGCAACTGCTCGCTTCGTTATACTCTTACCCCGATTTTCCGACTACTTTGTAAACGGCAACCCCTAATGAATCCATAAAAGGCCCAGTATTCACTCCGTCTTGGAACTTGTAACTGTAATTCAAGGTTTTTTTCCAGGTCGCACAAATAGATCAGATGACTCAAGACCGTGTTGTGCTTCGGTTTCTTCATGACGCATTTTATTATTACCTATTAAATAAAGGGGATGCGAAAGGAGCATCTACAGGTACATTGAGTCCTCTACCGCGTAGTTATTGATTGTCATTTAATTCCCTCTTTTGCAGGCAATCATGACCATGTTGGATTTCAGTGCGGAGCAAAAAGATGAGGTGGCAAAGAAGCGAGGTCGATCTCACTAAGAAAAGGAAATAAAGGGGCATCTCTCGTACGGGTCGCGAACGCATTTAGTTTTAAATCGAATGATTCCGAATATTCTGAACCGTTTCGCCTTCGAATGACGTCTACTGTCGTAACCTCAGTCCTATACAGAGAATTCTCATAAAAATCTAGTTATGTTCAAATACTCGTATAATGTTTTGTACAAAGAATCTCATATTATGTCTTCCCGGTCATATTCACTTATCTTAGCCTACTTCGTCTAGTTGTTGTTTTTTGTATTGTTAATAAAACGTTGTCCTTAAGGTGTGGTCATTAAAATTCATTCAGAGCATTGCATAGGGTGTGCTACTGAAGTCGAGAGTAGCGGCGCAATAGACTAGTAAAAACAATCGGCACGATAAATCCCCAAGACCTGTGGGGCTCACACGCCTAGCAGGGCAGAATTCGACGCACCTAGGAAGGCGCTGCGTGGAGCTTTTTCTAAAGGACCCCATAGCGCCCTATCAAGTGCAAAATACCGACCCGACGCCTACTGCGCCCGCCCACAAATGTCCGACCGATGCTGATGCTCGTATCGCTTCATTTGCGAAGTACATATGAAGCGAAGGGATTGATATGAAGCGGCTGCGGTGCTGCATGGATATATGAGTACATACATGCAGCCGTATCTACCGTAGCAGTTATTGGCACGATGCCAACGGGAAACTCGTCCGAAATTGCTTTCTGAGTCGTGTAGAACAAAAGCTTTTTTGCAGGGTTTTTGACCGTTTCTCTTTTTGCCACTAAATAGCACCCCTGCTACCATTTTAGACCGAGCGCCAAATTGTCGTGCCTTATGTCTTTCAAATTGGAGAGCATCAAGGAGAGAATCGTGAAGGATGAAGCCTCAAAAAGCTAGACATCTCCCACAATTTTCAGATATCGTGTAGGATAAGCTTTCAATTCGCCACAAATAGTCCGAACTACACTCATGTATCCCCCTTAGTCGAAAGTGACGCGAAACTGCTACCCTAAAACCCATAGATACACTCCCTATTCCTGAGACGGGATAGGCGTGGCATTTGGACATGGCATAGACTGAAGATTCGTAGGATATTTCAACTTGAAACAACTGACATTCTGTTGTTTTGACAAAGACATGATCACAATCGTCTCAATGAAAACTTTTCATCGAAACCACACAGTCACCACCTCGTCTACTTGGAGTAAGCCACGCCTACCGCATCTCATGGATTCGAGTGTAAGTCCAAGCGGCGCTATGAGCACCGCGCGCGTCTTTTATACGAGACCCTCTGAGTTGATGCCTTTTACTATCCTTGAAAACGATGAACAAACAAGAAGTCTCCGGTAAATTTTATCACAAAACTTGACCGAAAAGGTATAACGTCCAAAATTTGTGGAAAATGGATAACAGAGGCATAGAGAATGCTGCAAAAGGATAAGGCTCCATGTGTTGAAAGTTCGACCAATGCGTTAAAATAAGGTACGAAAAAAAGGGCGTTGCAAAGTGTTGTAGTGAACGCTTAAACTGAACATGGGACTCTTAATCAGGGACTCCATCCTCGAGTCAAACGGCACAAACGGGTCATATGGTTTTCTTAATTTTTATTCGATCCCGTTTTTCTCTTTTCCTATCACAACCAAGCAAATGCAAGTGAAATAGAATCAATGCAGATTATTCTGCATAACAATCTTCGGTATTAATGCAATCGAACTTCCTTTAAAGGCAATTCCCGCGACCACACTTCATAGGTAATACAGTTCAAAAATAGAATTGCCCTGTGGTTGTTGACTTAATGAAGGGAAGGAACCACGAAAAATAAGACCCTCTTTATTTTGATCATGATCACCGGACGAGCGTAAGGTGGTCAAGATCAATTGTGGATTGCAAAAGGCGGCGATACACTGATAAGAGACGAGAGAGGCCAGAAAATGACGGGCGAGAGAGCGCAATGGCAATGTCACAACGACACGGTCACTGGAGGCCGGCATGGGCCTATCGGGCGCCAATGGGCCTAAAACATGAGCGCCGTGCGTTCTGCTTGCTGTTTTTCAACTTTTGAAAGCAGCATATCCCTGCTTGATCATCATGCACGTTTATGAAGTTCTAGCCTTAGTTTATCGCGGAACGTGCCTTTGAGGTCAACTAAGAGGCCGCAATTTTGGCTGTCCATGTAATATCATTTCCCGTCGTTTTTCTAATTAGTCCTAATTGCCTTATCTATAGCGGGCTCTTCTATCAATTAACCTTTACTACTTGTATATATGATCACTGCGCCCTGTCTGAAAACGAACAGGGAAGCATATTCTCCCTACCATTGGGCGACGTCAGAATTTCCGGAAATTGCGAATAGTACCAGTGGAGAACATTTGAGGAGGGAAAGGAGGACGTAATCTACAAACATTCCCACAATGCGATACTGCGCTCTACGCCCGCCTTCTTCAAGCCATCTCTATATTTCAAAGAGAGTGATTCCGCCCTTAGATGAAGCTGAGATTTTTACATTGTCTTTTTGAGCACGAATTGCGCTTTGCGGGTAGCCTTTTTGGCAAACCCCTTCTTCTCTTGGAAGAATAAACGGTATTCAGATCATGGCAACTTAGTGATACCCACTATAGAAAGGGCGTGAGTGTCCCTGCGACGAAAAGCTCTCAGCGTCCGTTATCGCAGAGGTCCAGACGCTTAACTCGCTCAGCTCTGATCTTTTCATTCTTCCTCTCTCACCAAAAGTGCTAAGTCAAAACTATGTCTGCCCAATGTGAGGACAAGTGTTATTAGGTTGTCCGGAAGGTTTTGAGAAAATTTTACATGGTCTGAAGAAGTGTTACAAGCGAATTAAGAAAGGATAAAGTCTTCGCCGTTGATCAATCCCTTTGTGGGATGCGGCACGCATTCTACTTCCATTCAGAATCGTAGTGGCTTATTGAATGCGATGTGGCCTATACAATGACTTGCGGTGGCCAGCCGATGTACAAGTCAGTGTTTTATCCTCCCAGACGAATCTGGTACCAATTTACCGTCCCCGGAGGGTAGAAGGCTTATTCAAACCGGGCGCCGCGCGAGTAGTAGCGGTATGCACTTGTCGCTACACCACATCCGCCCAACTCAGTACAAGCTTAGTTCTAGCTCCCACGCAAGGTAATCCCGCCCAAAAGATAAGGGACATAGGATGGACAATATTCATTATAACTATGAACTACTATCTCTTATTGTTGTTGATAAGTGTTAAATGAGCTGGTTGAAATTTCTCAAAACTTTCCGGACCCCTTAGATCTAATTTCTTTCCATTGCGAGCATCCGGGGACTTTGCTAAGCTTGCTAAAAAGTTCCCTATGCCAGCCTATATTGGCCGACTCAAGCATCTCTTGAAGACGGTCTGCTTCACTTTCTCCATCCCTGATTATAGTTTTCTTGGAGGCTGATCAGAAATCCTGAACCTATTCTCTTCATTTTTTTTGTTGTTATATCAAGTTTTATCTAGTTGTTTGTTCCTCCTCTGTTGTCAGATTGTGTTTCTTTTTTTCCTTTTTTTTAATGGTTGTGATTCTACATACATGTCTGCCTCATGTATCTAGCGTACATGCAATAAATAGAAAAAGAAATAGTCAAATGTCGTTAGTGGCCATGTAGAGGTGCGATTTCGTGTTGGACTAGTTTGCAGCTGTCGCGTCGAAGGGCGAGCACAGTATAATATTCATCAGAAGTAACACACTCAACTTTACTAGAAAGAGATGGCTTGAATAGGCGAGCAATGGGCACGATTGCTGGGGGCGGGCGGTTGTTGCCATTGTCACCTGGTGGAAAGGTGTTGTGAGATGGCATTTGGCCACACCCCACTGTTTTCCATCAATGGCGTTGGTGACAGTACCGCCACCCCCACCAGTCGTGCCGACTGTCTTTGGGATCACTGATTGAGCGAAAAAAGTACTACTGTACCACGCGGTGAGTTGCAATCACAACTGTGACCATTCAGTGATACTGCTTCGTTTTTCTGTTTCTGCCACGAGGTTACCACATTGAACATTTATCCGGGTAACGTTTCGACCCCTTTGTCGATAGAAAAACGTCGTGGCAGAGAGCCAAGAACCAGAAACTATCGAGCAATGGTAGGGTTTCGAAGTGAAAGACATTGCAAGCTCATAAACAGTGATTTTTCTGACCCATGAGCCTCAAGCCTGCCTCTCATTTTTATTGCCACTTTAAAACTTTGAGAGCTGTAGTAAAAGCAAAGAACGAGCTATCATGGCCCTATGCTCGCTTCTGAATGCTCGAAGAACCTCCAATCAGCTCCTCTATTATTGGCCAAAATACTGCCATAATAGAGCATATCATGAAGCTGTCATATGCCATCCGTATCTAGAATGTGTGCAAAACGCGACAGACGCCGAAAGGTCGTCATCATTGGTTGACACAACGTGTTCACACCTCCCGACGGACCCGAGCAATCACATGTGGGCATACAGTAGCCTTGCACCAATAGCGCGTCACTTACAGCAAAAAACTACGTGGTGCTGCGATCCGTACTGATTAAAGATAAGCTGGAGAAGAGTTATCCAACTAAGTGAACTGGAGCATTATTTGATACAGAAGCCTGTTCTCAGCTAAACTGGAAAATCAAACATTATCATCATAAAGCCACAAATTACGCAGGATAAGCCATGAAGTTTGCAGGCGGTACTTGAAAATCAGTTCCTTGCTTGTCTGCGGCTCTATTCAGTTGCACAATAGCTATGTTGTAGCTGGACTCTTCACAAGGGTATCGCAGTGGCACTGCTGAAGTTTGACCTTATTTTCTGGGGTAAGAGGGCGCAGTCAAGGAGCCACACGAAAACATGCGCGAAATGTTGGTAAATAAAGAAAAAAGCCACAACAGTTTCCCTGTTTTTTTTTGGCTTAGTTTTTTGACCGCCTTTTTTCCTGCAAATTTTTATTTTATTATTATTTTTAATTTAGGTTTTTAAAAATTTCTCACTGAAGGTAGATCATTA